CCGCCTCGGCTCTACTGGTCTCCTCTGGTTTCCTCACCTCCGCAGCCTCTGTCTTTCTGGTCTCCTCGGCTGCGTTCGTTTCCTCAGCTTTCCTTTTGGGCCGTCTCGTTTGCAACCGAGGGTTCACGGGGAATTCCCGGAGGGATCTGGGAGTTCCCTCTGGGCACCTGCACCGTTGCCGGCGGTCTGCAGAGCAAACGCCGCACCGCGTCATCGCTGCCGAGCCAATGCTAGCCGAGCCAATGCTACGGTAGGAGGACCAGGGAAGAATGAGAGAGGAGGGGAGGGGAAGAATGGAAGAGAGAGCAGAAGGACGGGAACGAGGGAGGGAGGAGGATGAGGAATGACGGGGACGGCGACAGCTTGATCTGCCTCCAAGCCCCCGGACCCCTGGACCAGAGCATTCCGACCAAGGTTTCGAAGCGAATCCGATCGTGACGACGAGGAACCTTCCGAGGCCCAAAGAAAGCGAAATACACAAACACCGAACAAAAACACAGCAGCCCTCTGGGCGGAGGTGGTTCGATCGCTTCCTCTTCCAACCTCCCTTTTTTGCCTTCGGACTCGGGCTTGCCCCTCCCGCTATCCCACCTTGGGTCTGGACGATGGGGGCAGCGACCCATTGGAGCGTCCAAGACGTCCCAAGTAGCTCCAAGAGGGCCTGACAGCCCCCAAGTGCCCCCAAGAGAGTCCTAGAGCGGAAGATCCGCGAAAGCCTGTATAATAGAATATTCGCCGTAATCGTCCTTGTCGCGATCGCCTGAAGCCCTATCCGTCTCTTTCGGGGAGTGCTTACCCCTTCCGACCTCCCCTTCTTCCCCTTTGGGGAGGTTGCACCTCTCCCGCTGACCCCTCCCCCTGGGTTTGGACGGGAGGGGCGGCGACCCATTGGAGCGTCCAAGGTGACCCAAGATGGCTCCAAGAAGGCCTCAGAGAGCCCAAGCTGGCCTCCAAGATGGCTCAGAATATCCCCAGACGGCTCAAGATAGCTTCCAAGAAACTCCAGGCGGCCCCGATGACCTCGCAAGACGAATCCAGGTGGCCATGGACCCCCAAGAAGACTCCCAAGAAACCCAATTTTTCCAAAACCTTAAATGCACTTGTGTGTGTGTGTGTGTTTTTGTGTCTCGCATTTTCCCTTCCGATGATCTTCCGAGGCCCCGAGGTGGCTCCAGGATGGCCCAATAAAGCCCCAAGAGGAGCCCAAGAGGGCGCCAAAACGGCTCCGAAGAGGCTCCGAAGAGCGGCAGATTGGCAGAAACTTGTATGGATGATTCGTCGCCGTCGTCGTCCGTGTCGCTAATTATCGCCTTCAACCCCATCCTGCTCCCCCTCAATGTTCTCCTCCTCCTCCTCCTCCTCCTCCTCGTCTTCCTTCTTCCGTCCAACCCTCGTACTTCGCCTGATCTCCCTAACCTCCTACTCCTCTTCCTCGTCTTGCTTCTCCTTATCATCCCCTTCCTGGTTTAAATCGTCATCATCATCATGACCACCATCAGCGTCGTCGTCGTCATCATCAGCATCATCATCAAATCACCATCACCATTACCATCACCATCAACATCACCATCACCATCAGGCCATCATCATCACCATCAGCATCGTCATCAACAAGCATCACCATCGTCAGCGACAGAGTCGACAGCGGCACTAGCATCACCATCATCACAATCGTCTTTATCATGGACACCTGGACCGGTGAACCAAGAGACCACGGCGACCTGGCGACCCAGCGACCCGGCGATTCGCGGCGACCCGGCGACCCGGCGACCCGCGGCGACCCGGCGACCCAGCGACCCGGCGACCCGGCGTCCCGGCGACCCGCGACCCGGCGACCCGGCGACCTGGCCACCCGGCGACCCGGCGTCCCGGCGACCCGGCGACCCGTCAACGCGGCGTCCCGGCGACCTGGCGACCCGGCGACCCGGCGACCCGGCGCCCTGGCGACCGGGCGACACGGCGACCTGGCGACCCGGCGACCCGGCGACCCGGCGACCCGTCAACGCGGCGTCCCGGCGTCCTGGCGACCCGGCGACCCGGCGACCTGGCGACCCGGCGATCTGGCGATCCGGCGATCCCGTGATCCGATGACCCGGCGACCCGGCGACCCGGCGACCCGGCGACCTGGCGACCCGGCGACCCGGCAACCCGGCGACCCGGCGACCCGGCGACCCGGCGACCCGGCGATTCGCGGCCGCCGCCCCCGCCCTTGTCCAGATCGCCCTCAAACAAAACGAAGCAGGGAATGTTCAATGGAAGCAGGCGCGGGCAAGTGACCGCCCCCCATCTCACCACCCACCTTCAAAATTGGAATATCATGTGGGAACTGCTCTAAAGCAAAGGCAAATCAACAACGGATCTATCATGTCTCCGTCCTTGTACTGCGCCGAAAGCAACGGCCACCATGTCTATAGACACATCCACCCCGAAGGTGTCTTCCTATGTGTGAAAGAGAGAGAGAGAGAGAGAGAGAGAAAGAAAGAGAGAGAGAGAGAGAGAAAGAGAGAGAGAGAGAGAGAGAGCGCGCGTTTCACTGGCGCTTGCCTTGGGAACATTCGGCGGCGTGTTTCAAATCGGGGGGCGGCCCCCCCCCAAACGCTCGGCGCACCGGGGGGCGGCCCCCCCCCCCAACGCTCGGCGCCGTCAATCAAAAGCAGGGGGACCCCCCTCGCCCCTAACCCCTCCCCCTCCCGAACTCCCCCCCCTCGCAAGGGCGAGGGGGTTTCAATCCACCCCCCCTCGGCGCCGGCGCTGGCGGCCACCAGCAGCGCCAACAGCGGGGACGCAGCGACGATGACCAGAGGCAGCCCAAGGGGGGGAGGGTTCCCCCCCCCCCCCTCCTGACGCCGGCGCCGGCGCTGGCGGCGGCCAGCAGCGCCGGCACTGGCGCAGGCGGCGGCGGCGGGGACGCAGCGACGATTACCACCTCTATCACCACCAGCACCACTACCACCACCACCACCACCACCGCCTCAACCCCCCACCACCAACCCACCACACACCACAACCACCACCACCACTACCACCACCACCACCACCCCACCACCACCACCACCACCACCACCACCACCACCACCACCAGCCACCACCACCACCACCACCACCACCACCAGCCACCACCACCAGCCACCAGCCACCAGCCACACAGCCACCAGCCACCAGCCACCAGCCACCAGCCACCAGCCACCAGCCACCACACCACCACCACCCACCACCACCACCACCCACCACCCACCACCCACCACCACCACCACCACCACCACCACCACCACCACCACCACCACCACCACCACTCACCATCACCACCACAAAAGCCCACCACCAATACCACCACCACAATCTACCACACCACCACCACCACCAATACCAGCAGCACGGCCCACCACAACCACAAACCACCACACCACCACCACCACCGCCACCACTACCACCACCAGCACGACCTCCACAAACCACCGGCACCACCACAACCCACCACCACCACCACAAACCACCACCACACCACCACACCACCACCACCACAACCCACCACCACCACAAACCACCACCACACCACCACCAAACCACCACCCCAACCACCACCACCACCACAACCACCACAACAAATCACCACACCACCACCACCACAACCACCACCCCCCCCCCCCCCCCCCCCCCACCCACCACCACCACCACCATCACCACCACCACCACCACCACCACCACCACCACCACCACCACCACCACCGTCGTCCTCGTCGACGCTCTCCGCCGCTGCCGCCCGCCGCCGCAGGCGCCTGCGCCGGCCCAGAAAAGAAAATCGTCGTCGCCGCCGCCGCTGCCAGCCGCCGCCGACGCTGGCGCCAGCCCGAGGAGAGAGGAGAGGGAGGGAGGGTGCGGGGTGGTTTCGACCCACCCCCCTCCATCCAGGGGGTGGGGTGGGCGTCCGGTTCCCCCCCCCCCCTCAAAGCGACCACAGAACGCGCTCTTTCCTATGCTATGTGACGACATCCAACATGTCCATGGACCCTTCTGCCTAGAGAGTGAGAAAGGTATTTGACATAGGCCACAGACGTTTTTTGTCTTCTAGAGGCAGGTCGCCTCCAACTTCAACACCCCTTCACCCACCACGGCAATCGCAGGGCGTGCGACCTGCAAACGGTGCCGCTGGTTCGCTGGCACTTCGGCTGTCGGGCCTTGGCCCCTGAAGATGTGGGGCCTGAAAGTGCCTGGCCTGAGTGCTCCTGCATGTGTTCCTCCACCTCCTCCTCCTCCTCCTCCTCCTCCTGCTCCTCCTTCCCCCCACTCATCCTCCCATAAGATCTGACGTTGCCAAGCAAATGCATTGCCGCGAAGAATCACGAACGGACGGAGCTCTACCTAGGCCCCATCTTTCTGCGGCCGTTTCTCGAGCCAGCTCGATCTATCATGGTCCTGGGGCCCGAAGCTGGGCGAAGACGCCTGGCGTGAAGAAATGGAACGCCCGGATCTCAGGGTCCCACCCATCCGTCCTCCCTCCTTATGCCTCTCCGCCCAACTTTTCACGTTAGGTAAACTTGGGTCAGCTGGGACCGTAGCGCTCGTTTCCGCCCAACTCTACCTCCTGCTCTTCCCTCGGGGGCGTTCATGAGGGGGGGTCGGAAACAGTGGCCCCAGGCATAAGCGTGGCCCAGGGGGGGAGGGACCAGGGGACATGTTGAAACAAGAAGAGGCGCCATGAAATCTCGGGAGATACCATGGCCCGGGCCACTCCTGGGCCGTTTGGGGGAGCCTCTTGGGAGCCTCTTGGGCCGTCTTGGGGCGGTCTTGGGGGCCTCTTGGGCCGTCGTCAACGCCGTGAAAGGCGAAAAGCCGTATATGCTAAACAGATACGTTTCAGATAGGAAATCTACGATTTTGGCATCTTGGGGCCCTCCTGGAACGCCCTTTGGGGGCCTCTTGGGGCTTCTTGTGATATCCCCCCCTTCTAGTCATCACCCGCCTCTTGGCCGCCCCCGATCCCCTGCGTCGGGCCGCCGCTCCGGTGTCTGCGGCGGCGGGCCCGCCGCGACCGTGGTTCTGGCGCGCGCGCGCGCTCGGGCTCGCTCTCCCCCTCGACGGCGGCGCCGCGGAGCGAGCGTGGAGCTGGGGGAGGATGGAGGAGGATGACAAGTGGAGGAGGAGATGGGGGAGGACGGGGGGGGAGAGGGATGAAGGAAGAGGGAGAGGGAGAGGCAAAGGGAGAGGGAGGGAGGAGGGGGGAGTAGGAGAACGGAACGGAGCGGCTGTCCACGAAGAGAGAGTTGAGCCATTGCTGCTCGGTGGGCGCACAGCCCATGTGGGCCGAGCGGTCGAGAGAGGATGAGGGGAGGGAGAGGAGTCTGGAGACAGGGAGCAGGGATGGGGAGGGAGGGAGGGGAGGGGAAGGGAGGGAGGGGAGGGGAGAGGAGGGGAGGGAGGGACGGGAGGGGAAGGGAGGGAGGGGAGGAAGGGAGACAAGCTAGGTGCGCTCGCGTCATATCTGACGTCCTACTCCTCCCTGCCATCCTTTATCATGGCGTAGATCTCCTCTTTTTTCGCACGGTCGGATGTCGAGCAGGGCGATGATCCCGAGAGGGTGCGCGATGCATCGTAGAGCACGGCATAGTAGGGCGTAGACGAGCACGGCAGAGCGTAGTATGTCACAGCATGGCGTGGCGTTGCGTAGAAAAGAATTGAATCACAAAGCATTGCAACGCAAATACTGGCATCGCACAGCGGCACATAACATAACATGGCGTGGCCCTGCGTAGTCAAGCACTGCATATCCTAGCATTGCAGCTGAAGGCATGGCATTGCACAGCGGAACGCCACATAGCATTGCATTGCACGCCGTGGCATGGTACTGGAAATAATGACGCCAGCGCTGCAGCGGGAGCACGATTCGGAACGAGCGAAAGCGCGGAAATGAGGCCAGCGCTTCAGCGGGAGCACGACTCGGAACAAGCGGCGGAAGCGCGGAAATGAGGCCAGCGCTTCAGCGGGAACACGATTCGGAACGTGCAGAAGCGCGGAAATGCGGCCAGCGCTGCAGTGGGAGCACGATTCGGAACGAGCGGAAGCCCGAAATGAGGCCAGCGCTTCAGCGAAATGAAACCACATCGAAAACCCAACTCCCGGGAATCATGCGTAAAAAACAATACGCGGAAGGGGACCGAACATCTTCCGGACGTCATCAGGGGAGAGAGGATCATATTTTTCATATTGTGTAATTGTGGAGTCCAGGGGCAGGGACCAGGGATGGGGAGGGAGGGAGGGAGGGGAGGGGAAGGAAGATACAGTGGACCCACAGGATAGGCATGCACGATGAGAGTGCAGGGGCCTTGGAAGGCCGCCATGTGGGCACTGTGCCGGCGGAGCGCGGCCAGCGAAAGCGGCCAAGGATGGGCCGAAGGGGAAGGAAGCCAGGGTCACCTCGGAAAGCCGCTCCTCCTCCTCCTCCTCCTCCTCGCGTGCTGACTGTAGATAGGGAAAGGGGGAGGAGAGGGGAGGGGAAGGGAGCACGAGCATGGCGGCACGACTCGCATACCCCATCTGCTCTTCCTCTTCCTCCTCCTCCCTCCTCTTCTTCCTCCTCCCCCTCCTCCTCCTCCTCCTCCTCCTCCTCCTCCTCCTCCATTCCTTGTCCTTGAAATAACTTCTCCCTGTCGCACCCCGAGGCCAGTGTTTAGGGCGGGCTGGGCGTTTCGCTTGAGACTTCCCCACCATGTATGACCCTGAAGCTGAAACGTTGACAACAGTTTCACATATGCAGGGCGGGCCGTTCTCAACATGTGGCTCTCGCCTTAGCGCCGCGCACATGATTTTTTTAACATGTGCAAGAGTTTCACGGACTGAGGGCGGGTAGTTTCCAAAATGTGGCTCTCGGCATCGCGCCGCGCACATGAGTTTCAAATTTTGTAAGAGTTCCACGGCCTTCTCAAAATGTGGCTCTCGCCATCGCGCCGCGCATATGAGTTTTAAACATTATAAGAGTTTCACGGACTGAGGGCGGGTAGTTTCCAAAATGTGGCTCTCGCCATCGCGCCGCGCACATTCGTTTTTACACGTTGCAAGAGTTTCACGGGTCTCCATGATCGGCATCTCAGACATGGTGTTTTGGAAGGGTTCAGGATTATGAGGGTGCAGCAAGTCTATGTATTCGCGGTGTTGAAGTCCCAGGAATGGCGTTCTGGCTCAATTCAAGATCGCCCAGACGCAACAAGCAAGTTCGTCCGTGCCAAGCGCAACAATCCGGTTGATCCGTGGCGTTGGAATCCCGAGAACAGTGTTTTGGCGTATTTCAGGGCCTTCAAACGGTCGTCTTCCAACGAGGCAGCTCCCTCAGTGGAAATGAACCGTTGTAGGGGACTGTGAAGAGGAAGCTTGGGGGGGGTGTTATTCCAACATCGTTGATGCCTCTTGGGTTTGCTTTGGTCCGTCTCCTCCTCCTCTTCCTCCTCGTCCCCCGCGGACGGGGCCTGCCGAGCGGTTTCACACTTGCCCCGTGGCCTCTGCATGGTTGTTCAAACGTCCCCTCCACGGAGGAACACCACGGGGATGCATACGAGGACGAACAGAAAATGAGGAGGACGCAGATCAGAACGAGAAGGCTAAGAGGATGAGTCCTCCTCTTCCTCCGTGTCCCCCGTGGAGAAGGCATCTGAGGATGAGACCGAGGAAAGAAGGAAGCTACTGAGGAGGCATATGAAAACGAGAGGGATAAGAGGGGGAACATGGAGAAGTGGAGAGGAACGGGCAAGTGTGCCCATAGGACCTGGACATTCCAACGCAAACATAGGGAACCAGCTGGCCTGCCGTTTCTGTCTCCGTACCTTATTCGCTTAACCTTCGTCACCCCCTACTTCTACCTCAGCGCCCATGCCCTTCTCTCGCTTTGTCCCTTGCCCTTGTTACATTTTCCTCTGCCCCGCTTCTTCCCCCTATCCTGCTCTCAACTGGCCCCCTCTGTCTGTACCTCTCTCGCTTCATCAACCTCTATCTCTCTCTCTCTCTCTCCCGCTGTCTGCCACTGTTACCTCTCTCTGTCTTTCCCTCTCTCTCTCGCCCCCTTTCGCATCTCACATCCTTCCCCCGAATTTCTTGCCATCCGTCCTGCCCTCCCTCCCCTCAACCCGCCTCGTTCCAAACGCCCCTCTGAGACCCAATACGAAATTCGTCAACATGGCTCCTGGACCCCAGCTCGAGTCCCCCAACTCGGTCGACGAGCACGCCAAGACCGAGCCCCCGCATCCGTCAAGCCCGATCTAGCCAGGGTGAGGCGTGTAGCAGGCCTGAGTCACCTGTCTTCAGCCAAACCAAAACATGACACCCCCCCGAGTCTCGTGAGACTGCTGAGCAGTCCACGGGGGAAGACACCGAGGGACCACCAACACGGATGCGGTGGCGCTGGTCTCGACTGTGACGAGGCCGAGGCTCGCTTCGCACAGTATTGGTCAAGGCTGTCCAGTGTAAGCGACGCGCGCCCTGCATGGGACCGCGACTCAAAGCCAAATAAGCTCGGACCTCGCTCCACGGGGCCGTCCGAGCCAGACCCTGTGGGAAAACACACACTGTGCGACAAAAACATACAACAACACAGACAGTCTGTGTGTGTGTGTGTGTTTTTTTTCCCACAGTGTGTTTTTTGTATGTTTTTGTTTTCCAGCAGTGTGTTTTTGTCCCACGGTGTGTGTTTTGTGTGAGCTCACCCCGCGTGCTGCAGCCACTGCTGCTCCCAACAAAAAAGACGGCAGGAAGCAAACGGATCCCCACGCGGTGACGCGCGTGCGCGGTCGTCCTTCCGCAGTCGAGGGCTCCGTCGAGCAGTCCACGCCGCAGGGTCTGCAGCACCTTCCCTCGGCCACAGTCGCCGAATTGGAGAAGGAGTCGAGGAGCCTGGGAGGACGAGGCGCACGTGGAGCAAGGGACCATCTCATACGCCGACGGCCAGCCTCACCGGTGCTGGCATGACACATCGCGTGGCAGGAGGGAAAGACGGAGCCGGAGGGGGAGCAGACCTGCTGCCACGTGGGTAGGTCACTGCACGCGCAGACGAGGGAAGCAGCATTGTCTGGATAAGCGACGAGCACATTTCTGAAGAGGAGAGGAGAAGGAGGAGGCCGAGGAGGAGGAGGAGGAGGAGAAGGAGGAGAGGAGGAGGAGAAGGAGGAAGATCCTCATGAGGGAATGGATGGGCCAGGAGCGGGCGGGGGACGTGCAGGAGGACGAGGCGTGGGCAGCAGGAAGCGGGGAGGCACGGCGATTCGCGCCGCCAGGTCGCCCCGAGGTAGGCAGCGGTCAGGGAGGATGTGAGAAGTAGCTGCGATGGTGAGGAGCGGGAGTGTGAGGAGGGGGGAGGCGGTCTCAGAGGAGGTTGATGAGAAGGACTGTCAGCGACGACAAGGAAGAGAGAAATATCGGCTGTGCGCTGCGTGTTTGGCGCCACGCCGCATACGGATTCACGTACCCATCACACGGAGAACATCCATCATAATGCAACTTGATCTTCCGTGCGAGATGGGGGTCCAGAATGTAGCGATGATTGCGTGCAAGAGATCCTGCTCATCTAACTGTGGCTGCCTTGCACCCCTAATCATCACACCTCCTCAATGGTGTTAACGCCTGGCAAGATCTCCCGGTAGTGCCTGAGCGACGGCCGCACGTCTCCCGAGGATGGCATGGTGTAATGGCGCAGCGCTCGGACCCCACGGCGTGCCATTTTCGCGCATCGTACCCTGCAACGTGTGCCTCTAATGTGCTATGCTTCTCGTAGCGTGGCAATCCGCCACGTGGGATCCAACATCCTGTCGCTTCAACATGCCGTGTCTAGCAGAAAACGGTATTCGTTCCTCGTGATGTGCAGGGCTTCGCTGCAGGGTGTCGCTCCACCGACAGCGATACATTCTTCGAGCTTCGATTTCGTAGCCTGTGCCATCCCCCTCCTCTTCCTCTTCCTCCTCCTCCTTCTCGCCCTCCTCCTCCTCCTCCTCCTCCTCCTCTCCTCCTCCTCCTCCTCCTCCTCCTCCTCCTCCTCCCCCTCCTCCTCCTCCTCCTCCTCCTCCTCCTCCTCCTCTCCCCCCTCCTCCTCCTCTTCCTCCTCCTCGTCCTCCTCCTCCTCCTCCTCCTCCCTCCTCCTCTGTGCCTCGAGACCTCTCGTGACTCGTGGGCCTCTGGTGGCCCTGTGGTGGGACTCTGCAGAGCTCGCCTGCGCCGGCCCTGCACTCGAGTACCCATGGCCCGTGGCCTCCCCGTCGCGAATGGCTCCTCGTGGCCCCGTTTGGATCACGTGTGCGCGCGCGAGTGTGTGTGTGTATATGTGTATATATGGATATGTATGTGTATGTGTATGTGAATATGTATATATATATGTGTGTGTGTGCTGAGTGTGTGTGTATATGTATATGTATATGTATATGTATATGTATATGTATATGTATATGTATATGTATATGTATATGTATGTGTATGTGTATGTGTATGTGTATGTGTATGTGTATGTGTGTGTGTGGACTGGCTGGCAATCTTCGTTCCATTTACCTGATCAGGACCCGTGGCCCCTGGCGTGCTGGCAGTGCTGGCATTTTCGAGCCGCCATCCCAGCGTGTCGTCATGACAGGCCGCACCGCGCCGCTGCCCGTTGCTTCCTTCTAGTGCCATGGTCCCAACAACCCCGTGGGCGGAGGCGGTCTGACGGCCCTTCCTTTCCTCGGGGAGCCCGAAGGGAGCGGATGCACTCGAGGGGGCCCGAGGGGAGCGGGGGAGGGGAGCGGGATGAGAAGAGGGGAGGGAAGGGCAGAAGGGGGGAGGGGGGCGGGGGGCGAGGGGGGAGGGGAGGGAGGAGGGAGAGGCCCGAGGGGGCAGCCTCCTCCTCTCCTCCTCCTCCTCCTCCTCCTCCTCCTCCTCCTCCTCCTCCTCCTCCTCCTCCCAGGATGGCCCACACCCTTCTGCCCCGATTCGGGGAGGGAGGGACTTGCACCTCCCCCTCCCCCCTCCCAAGAAGGGGAGTGCCAGGCGTCCCTTTTGGATTCCAAATGGCCGCCATATGGCTCCCGATGCGGCAAGGTGGCCTCCATGAGAGCACACTATAACCCGATGTGGTTCACGATAACTTCCGACATGTCCCAATACGGCTCCTTGCTCCCTCGAAGCCATCCAGGGACCCCCCCAAGATGTCAAGTCGTCGCAAAAGCTGTGGGACATCGCACTTTGCTGTTCTCTCGCTGTTTCGCTTCCGACGGCGGGCCCCTGTGGGGCTTAAATATGGCCCTTCGAGCCTCAACAGCGCTCCCAAAAACAGATGTTCGGCCTCCGAGGGGGGTCATAAAATCAAGGGCCCCTCCCCTTTTCAGCTGAGCGGCCCACTATCGCCCAAGAGGACCTCGAGACCCCCCAACGAACCCCAGGAGGGCCCCATGACCCCCCAAACGGGCCCCCACACGGCCCCGAGAGGCCCCAAAGACACCCGAGGAGGGCCCAAATATAGCTCCAAGAATTGTTCAAGACCGCGAAGAGGCTCTCACAACGAAAGATCCGCGAAGGCATCCTCCTCCTCGTTCTCCTCTTCATTAGCCCTTTCCTCCTCTTCCTCCTCCGCCTCTTCCTCCTCCTCCTCCTCGTACTCGTACTCGTCCTCGTCCTCGTCCTCGTCCTCCTCCTCCTCCTCCTCCTCCTCCTCCTCCTCCTCCTCCTCCTCCTCCCCCCCTCCTCTCGCGAATCTTCTAAGACAATTCGCCAGTGCATCGGCTCTGGATGAAGTTGACGCGCTGCTGTATGGGCTCCTCTGCCTTCCTTTTCTGCTTCTTCTTCCTACCCCTACTCCTTCTCCTTATCTTGTTCCTCTTCCTCCTCCTCCTCCTCCTCCTCCCAAGACGACTCCAGGAGGCCTCGACGAAGCTAGGACATCAACCTAATCATCCTGCTCCTTTTCCTGTTCTGGTTTCTCGTCCACATTCTCCTCCTCCTTCTCCTCTTCTTCTTCTTCTTCTTCTCCTCCTCCTTCCTCCATTTCTTCCCAGGGTTACTCCAGGAGGCCTCAACGAGGCTTCTAATACAACCTGCCTGAGCGTCGGTTCCGAATGGCATGTATCATCTGATGTACAAGCTCCTCCGCCGGCGGTGGAGTTTGGCTTTTCACAAATTATTCAGGCCAGCCGCTCCGCTGCATGATTTTTCACTTTCTGGATCAGGGAAACATGCCTGGGAGCAATTTCTGGATGGCTTTCTGGCCGATCACGCGAGGCCGGCTCCACACAGGTCGGGCATGGGGACACCGATCGAGGCGAGATCGCCGCCGATTCGATCTCTGAGCGATACGGAAGGCCGCAGATTGATATCCGCTGCGCACCATGTGGGCAACCTGGCCAGGCACCTGCGCAGCCGTGCGAGCTTCAGGCGGCCTGTGGTGGCCTGGAACGACCTCTACTTCTGAGGCAGAGTGGTGCTTAGCTGGTAGAGGGTTCGCCACCCTCTCACCCGCACCCTACGCGTCTCGGACCAGTCATAGACTTCGAAAGCTCAGGAGCTGGTGCTTAGCTGACCGAGGACGCCGAGGACTAAGGTGGTGGTGGTGGCTTGCTGTTAGCTGATCAAGGGCTGATCATCGTGTCGCACCCGCCCACCTACACTTCCTGGCGACGAGCCGGAGGGGAAGTGAGAAGGGGCGGGCCTTGTCAGAAGGCTCGGAAGTCCCTCCGCCTTGTGACAAGTTTTCTAAGCCTTCCCCGAAACACACAGAAAACCTCTCAGAAGGCCCGAGGGCTTCTGAGAAGCCCCGCCGCCTTCAGAGAAGGCCTTCTCCTTCTCACTTCCCCCCCTCGCTCGCCGCCGAACATCTCAATCAGGTCATCATGTCAGCCAACCACTTCTGAAGTGAAGGGCGGGGGGTGGTAACCCAACCAACGGATGTTCGGCAACTTCCTGTCATGACGACGCGTGCCCTGTTGCCGGACACCGCGCGAGCCAGCCAATCCTGATCGATCTCCGCTCCTGGAGGTCCTCAGAAGCTGTCGACCCCCCCCTTCGGCATGCAATTTGCGCCGTTGTTGGGCGCGAGTGCGAATTCATGGTGGGCGATAAATGGAGGGCCAGCGGGGAGAGCAGAAAAGGGGCCCTTTAGGGCCCCTCCAGGGTCCCTGTACGGCTCAAGAGGGGGCCTTTAGGGCCCGAAAAGGGCACCTGTCTTCCCTCCCTCCAGTTATCGCCCCCCCCATGAATTCGAGCCCAACGTTGGCCGCTTCCTGTGGGCCCCAGGGCTGGAAACGACACGCTGGAGGGTGTTCAGCACTGAACGCCCGCACTGGCGCCGCCGACGCGTCGCTGCGACGCGAGTTTGCCCCACTTCAAACTTTTCCACTGGAGCTACAGAGCGCGACCGTGGGATATGTCTTGGGATGGGGGGGGTCGACTTCCTTCTTGGAGGAGGAATGTATAGGTGGTGACCAATCTTTGACCGTCTTGAAGCTGTCCTCTCCGCTGCTCGTGCAAACATCCCACCCTCCCACCCGCAAACATCCCTCCCTCCCACCCTCCCACCCACCCTCCCAACATCCCACCCGCAACTGGGATGGGGGGGGGTCGACTTCCTTCTTAGGAGGAGGAATGTATATAGGTGGTAACCTATCTGGTCCAAGCTCTGTGAGGCACACTGCTCGGTGCAAGCTATGGGGTGCAAGATCTGTGGCACAATGTTTGGAAAGCAGTTGATGCAGTGCAAACTACTAGGTGCAATGCATTCTGTGCTGCGAACTATGAAGTGCAACCTGTGGTGTGGAATCCAGACCGTACAACTCATGGGGTGCAAGCTATGTAGTGTTATCTGTGCGGTGCGATCTGCGCGGAGCAAGCTATGCGGCCATGAGACGGCCACCGAGCGAACGTCCAAACGCGCGCCAGCGCACGGGGGCGGCCACAAGGCGGACGGGCGGCCGCCGCGTGACAACCTAGAATGCCTGCTCGCTATCGGCGGCGAGCGAGGGGGGAAGTGAGGAGGAGGAGGAGGAGGCCTTCTCAGAAGGCGGCGGGGCTTTTCAGAAGCCCTCGGGCCTTCCGATAGGTTTTCAGTGTTTCCGTGGAAGACTGAGGACATTTCTCAGAAGGCCGGGGAACTTCCGAGCCTTCTGAGAGGGCCCGCCCCCTTGCACTTCTCCTCTGCGCTCGCCGCCGACAAGATATTGGCAGCTGCAGCAAACGTGCTACCATAAAGAACGCTGAGAAAGGAGCGACAAAGGTTTTGTGGCCACGGCAAGCCTCGGCCACGAAGAGGCAGGTTCCCCGACCTAGATCACAGCAGCGACCCGAAAGCCAAAGCTCCTCTCTAGCCAAAAACAATCCTTCTTTCAGCGTCTTGACTGTATGCGGGGGCCTCTCAATGCAAGCACTGCTTGGGGAATTAATGAAAGCAATAAGGCAGCACCTTCCTTTCCCACCTTCCTTGCTCCTGCGCGCGTGATGGCAGGAGGGAGGGCCAGATCCATCTGGACTCGGGCCAGCCTGAAGAGGCGACGTGGTCGTCGAAAGCTCATCAAGAGCGCCTAACATAGAAGAAACATCAACGCCATAAACAGAAAATTTTGGCGCTCCGCGCGGTTTTCTTGAATCTGCACCGGGCCCCCCTCCCTGGCGCGCGGATCGCGCCAGGGGCGGCGCC